AAGACCTCCCATCAGGGCCCTAGGCCGTGTAGTTGTAAATGACAGCAGTCGGGTCTGTTTACTGGCCCTTAGCCTGGGGAGGTAGAGGGAACCTCAGCTGACCCCTGTGGAGTCTAGGGGCTGCCTCCCTTGGGGTTCTGCCCCACACTGCCTGTCCCACCTTGCAGGACCGGTTCTTCCTCTTCCTTCCCCTCCCCCCCCCTTTTGTTCCTTTGCATCTTACCTGTTCCCTAAAACTTGCCTGTGGCACTCAGGGTCAAACAGACTATTCATTCTCCAGTGTGAATGTGCCTTTTAATTATAAGCCTAGAAAGAAATTCAGTTGAACCCACCCACACTCCCCCACGACCAATCTGGTGCCTAAAGCCTCCTTTCTCCCTCAGGTTTTTAGCAGGTACTCCCACTCCAGGGAGGCTGACCCATGGGGCTGTCTTCTCCAAACCTGCCTCTGCTGGGGGAGGCTTAGCCTGCCTGGGGTGAGATGCACGAGGCCATTTCTACCCCTGGGTACCCTTGCTGGGTCCAGCCTGGGCTAAGGACAGAGGCTCAGCTGTTTAATCCCAGGGTTGACCTTTCAGCTAGTGGCATCTTGGACCCCCACCACTGACCTGGGAACCAGCCTTTAGTGTGGAGGCTGAGTTGGTGTCCAGCCCCCGTCTTACCTGTGCCTTTATTGCTTTGAGCATATCAGATGCTAACTTGGTTCTTTTTCCAGGAGCCTTTGTATTGATTAAAATTTATTTTCCACTGCAGAAGCATTTGGGCTATGCAAATTACTTCTGTCAGTCCCCTGCTCCTTAATAATGATGTTAATAGAACTCAGAACAACTGCACTAAGGAGTTTTGGGAAATGCAAAGAATGAAGGCCTTTCTTTCTGACCCCAGATCCTGACTTTTCCAAAGTGCCTTAAAAGAAAGGAGACAAATACCTTGGGAAGTAACTTCTTTGTTACTTTACTCTTAAAAAAAAATTAAGCCCAGCCGGTGTGGCTCAGTTGTTGAGCATTGACCCAGGAACCTGGAGGTCACAGTTCGATTCCCAGTCAGGGCACATGCCTGGATTTCAGGCTCAATCTCCAATAGGGAGCATGCATGAGGCAGCCAACAATTATTCTCTCTCATCATTGATGTTTCTATCTTTCCTCCCTTCTTGTCTTTGAAATCAATAAAAAATAAAAATAAGACCTTTTTTGTTATATTTTCCTTCATGTTACATTGGCACATTCAAGTATGTGGTTCATTCTCAGAATCAAGGGAAATCCTGCGTCAACTGTTCCTTATTTGCTGACCTCCTGGTGCTCTCATGCGGGCCACCTGGGCCCAAGGTCAGGCCTGGATGCTTGCCTGGTTCATGAGATGCTATAGGTCCTGTTTCCTCCCTGGGGAGTTCAGGGCAGAGGGTTCAGGGAACATTTCCTTTACTTGGAAGTTGTCATCATGAAATTGTCATGTACTGTGCCTTTGTTTCTGTCCTTCCCATTGCCGGTGACCCTTTAAAATGGTTTTTGGAAAAGATCAGAGGGCAGAGGTGGCCCAGGAGGGTAAAGAAAATGCTGGTGCTGGCTCTCAGCCTGGGCAGGGTCTCTGCTGACCTCAGGGCTGGTCATGGGGTGTCCCAGACAGCCAGGACAGCAGTTTTCCTGTCCTGGAGACCTGTTATGCTGTGTATTTTGATTTCCTGTGTGTGCAAATGTATGTATTTACCATTATAAGTGGAAGGGGGGGAATGTCTGACTTTGGTGTTCAAAACAGAATTGTATTTTTGCCTTTAAAATCCAGTAATATAACACAAATAAATGTCCCTATCTTTGTAACTACAGGTGGTTTCTCTTCTGATTTAAAAGGTTTGGGCTCTCCCAGAGCTGGTGGGTAGTAACTGGTGCTACCTCCTGGGAGGATCTGAGGAAAGCAGAGATCTCCCTTCTGTGCCCTCCTGGTTCAGGGTGTCGTGGCTGGGGTGTTGGGTAGCAGATGTCGGTATCCCCACACACTACCCAGGAATCACACAGCTGGAGTACACACAGCTTCCTGGAATCAGCTGATAAGAAAAAAATTCCGAAATGTTCTAAATTAAGTTACAGCAGCCTGAGAGTGAGAGAAAGAAACAGAACTGTTAGTCTTTTAATGGCTGTGGGCCAGCTAACGCGAAAGACGTCTCACATTCCCGTTTTGCCTATTGGAATTTTGGATTAATTTCCAGGTGGCTATATCCTCAGATTATTTTAGCCAGGCACCTGGTGACTCCAGGAGCCCCCGCTTGTTCACACGTGGGCTTTCTGAAGTGCTGCCCACAGCCACCCACCGGGGCAGACATGGAAGTTAAAGATTTTTGTTTAACACAGCCATTTCCCCATCTGGGCCTCATTTTCTTATCTGTATAATGGAAATAACAACACATAGAGATTTTTGAAGCTTAAAAGAAATGAAGTATCTAAAACAATGACTGAACCCGGCTGATGTGGCTCAGTGGTTGAGCATGGACCATGCACCAAGAGGTCACCGGTTCGATCCCTGATAGAAGGCATGCAGGAGGCAGCCATTCAATGTGATATTTCTCTCTCTCTCCCTCTCCCTTCCTCTCTCTCTAAAAATCAATTTGAAAAAACACCACGATGACTGACACCTCACAGGTACTCACTACATAGTGGCTAATGCAACTTCAAAGTAGATTTTCCCCTAGCACTTCTCTGGCCACATTTCTGCTATTTTCAACAAATGCCCGAATAGTTCTGAGATAGTTGTCAGAGCTACTTATACAAGGTGTTTACAGTGTCATTTAATCACTATGACCCAAAATAGGGTTTGTTGTCAGCTCCAGGAAATTTAACTAAAGGGTCTTAGTTGTGACTCAAGGATGTGAGACAGTTAAGTACTCAGCAGCAGCCTCTTACATGCTGCTTGGATGGAGTTGGCACCTGGAAGGAATGGGCCAGAGGAAAGCAGTGTGCAGGAGAGGTCACTCTTGCTGTCCAAGCTGAGGTAGCTCCAGGCCCTGCTAGGATGGAGCTGCAAAGGTGGGACCAGTTGGGAAACAGGAGCAGAATGGGCAGCCCCTTGTAGCCCCCTCCCTGGGCCATCTGGCTGTCTCCACCCATCCCTGTTACTGCTAGAAGAATCCCTTGTGGCTCCAGCCTTGAGCAAAGGTGGCCTGAGGCTCATATATGACCTTTGAACAGGAGACTCTGGTCCTTTGGACAGAGTGCTGCCTTATAGGGCTTTGTAAGCTATAAGGTCTGGGTTAAGTGCAGCACCCTCCCCTCCCCAAAGATGCACATGTCCACACAGAAGCATATACACAAACATGCATAGTACACCTGATGTGCTTAGGAGAGGCCAGAATGCTTCTTGCTAGTTCTATGACCTTGAGCAGATGAGCTAGCCTCTCTGTGCCTCAGTTTGTTCATCTGTGTAACAGGGATAGCAATACCTATTTTGTAGAGTTGTTACAAAGAACAAGTGAGATAATATGTATGAAGCACTTAAAACATGCCTGGCTCATAGTACTCATATGTGTTACAAATGTTTGTGGATTTTTTTTAGATGAACATGGACACACCTGCTGACATGTACATACGGACTGCTGTGCCCACATTACCAACACACACACACACACACACACACATCTCAGATATAGTGGAGCTCTTTATTTTTCTCTTCTAGGACACATGTCTAGGGCTTAACTATGTGACTGGGTTGGGCAGGTGAACCTCAGGATAAAGTGACCATTCCTCTTCTGGAGACACAAGACCTTACCAGTGGTGTTTCCGCACCCCTTCCCCACCTCACCTAAGCGAAGGTGTTTGGAATGACTGCCTTGGGGAAGGAGGGGTCTTGAACCCCACCCCCCTTGAGCTCAAAGGGGCCAGGAAGGGAAGATGGTAGAAGGAAGAAGGTCAAGGACAGGTTCCTGGGGTTGGCCATTTCCTTGGGAAGTGCTCTCTCTAGTCTCCCACTTCTTATGGGACCCAGACCAAGTAGGAGCCAGGCAGAGCCCATTAGTCAAGAGTATGAATTAGGGGGGCACCAGATCCCCCTTTCCCCCATATAGTAGCTCTTTTCCATGTGAGACTGTGACCTGGATGACAAGTCAATGACCAACAGATGTCCTTTGGAGGAAGGGCTGTGGTGCCCACGTAGGTGAGTGACTATGGAGATATGTATGAAACCTCCCCAGGCAGGAGTGTTTGCTGCTGGTGACAGAAAGGCTGGGGAGGGTGGGGGAGAGGTCAAAGAAATGAGCAGATGACCAAGTTTACACCACACTCCCAGGCATCCATCCTCTTGTTTCTTCCAGGAGGTGGGAGTTAGGCATCCATCCTCTTGTTTCTTCCAGGAGGTGGGAGTTCAGACTTTCCTTGGAACCAGTTTCTTAGAACTGGAATTTCTTACCCCATCAGAGAGGAAATGAGGTTTGTCTGGCTGAGCCAGTCATGCCAGACAAGCCTCATTTCCTCCTGGCAGAGTC